CATTTATTTCCTATTTATTAGAAAGTTATTTATTATGTGGTTGATTTTTAGTTAATCAAGAGGAATATGTATTTCAATGCATTTTGAGAAGTACTACTATGGTCGAGAACGAAAGTCATTATGATATAGCAAAGAGTAATTTATTATTACCAATATTATTACAGATACACCTTTATAGTTCTATATTGCTAATTAAATTGCTTATTCCTGAATTAAAGCTGGATTCGATTATATATCTGATCATTCAACTATATTTGAGCATTACTACTTGAAGCATTATCGTGAAGTGTGGGATTGTCTTTGGAAATGTCGTGATCATAAAAATCCTGACGTTAGACGTGCGGCGTTTAAAGCTATTGGAGAATTTTTAAAAAAGGCATAAATTTAGTTTAATTATTCAGTTTAATTAAATAATTTTTTGTGACTAGTTTTATTCTAAAATTTAATGTCATCATTTTTAAAAAAGATTGCCGCTTTATTGAATTCAAATTATATTGGTCAGCATGAAAAACAATGCGTGGAGGTATATTGATTATATTATGATTGTTTTACTGATTTCATGATTATTTGAATATTGTACAATTGTTTAGGCAAATTAAATTACCTTTTTTCCCATAGTTCTTTTTATCAATATTTGTAAACATTTGGAAGACTAGTAATGTTGATCAAAATCAAGAGGTAGAATCAAAGGATCAGTTGACAAAAGATCTTTCTATCGCTGTTCGAGGTGTCGGGTATTTTGCTGCTCCGGCAAAAAAATTTATGGAAGAAGGCACATTACAACAACTATTCCAGGATCTGCTTAAACCAAGTGCATGGGTAGTTTCAAGGTACCCTCATTATTACTTATTTTGATTAAATTTACTGATTCTTATACTATTTTTCTATTATACTATTTTTATACTATTTTTTATACTATTTTTATATTATTTTATATTATTTTTATTTATACTATTTTTATACTATTTTTATGCTTAATTTAGTATGGATTATAAAGATACTTCTCTGAATGTTCAACAAATACCATTATTCATTGAAGCGTATTGTTATATCGGGCATGAATTTGATGTTATTTTCGATGAACTGATGGAGGTTATTGAACGTGAAGTGGGATTAATGCTTATGTATTACCCACGTTTAATATCCGAATTACGTCTTAGAAGTGCAAATGCTTATGAACAATTATTATGGATGTTATACATGAAAGGACGAGGTGTTTTGCAAAAATTTGTTGCCAAAACATGTGCGTTATCAACTTTTTTTAATATTAACCAATTGATATAATTGATATAATTGATATAATTGATATTAAAATGTCAAATATTAAAATATTATTTTTGTAGTTTTTCAAGCAATGGTTTTGACATGTACAGATGCAATTCAACATAAAAGTCAGGCTGATAGTCAAGAAAATGTTCCAGGAATTATTGATACTGTCGCAGAACATACTTATCAAGAGATGTTCAATTTTTGGGAGCATATTTTTAAAGATTCAACCTTAACTTGGGTTATTCGCCAAAGTGGTCTTTCATCTGAAGAACCTCAAAATAATGATACTATTAAAGAATTTTTTTCTGTACTTTATGATGAGTTTCTGTCGACTGTATTTCGCATAATTAGAACTTTAAATTTTGATGTTATAGATATAGCATCTAATGATACAACTCAAATTATTGAATCTGGCTCTGACAATGTTGAAAAAAATACGGACTCTAATTTAATAGCAATTGCTGGCTCTGGAGATCTAGATAATTTAAAACCAGTTGTTTCTAAAGATTTTATGCTTTTTCAAAATCTTGTAGATTTCTGGAAATTATTTTTACCAAGGGTTAGATGCGAGCTGTTTTCGAGATGGGTTTATCTTTCAGGTGATACTTTGATAACATTTTCAACACAGTATCCCTATGTTAGCGGTTTCTACAAGATGCTGGGATCATGTATGAAGGTGGCAGAAAATATAAAGTTTTTTGATGGTATTAAAAAAATAAATGATGAGGTATATTACTTTATTCCACAATTTTTTTTATGCATTATAAAATAATTTATTGGATAAGATAATTGATATCTTCTTTGATTCGCGTAGACCGCGATTCACAGCATGCATGATCAATTATCACCTTCCGCAACATCATTGCAACGCGCAAGTTACTTTCTTTTTACAAAATTCCTCAAAGAAGTTTGCGTTCGACTTGATCAATATAAAGATGATCTACTTGCTTCATGCCTTGATCTCGTTCTTTCGGCTCCTAGAGAGCTTTGTCATTCGGATATTCTTATTTCACCAATACGTATTGCTTTGAAATTGGGACAAAGTTATCAACCACTTGCAAATATTGGTTTAAATGCAATTGAAAAGTTATTGGATATGAAAGAATCTCAAAATATTAATAAATTACTTGGGCAAATATTACCACTTTTAAATGATTATTTGTTGGTTACTGCCGACACTATAGATAATTCTCTTAAAGAAATTGCTCAAGTTCGTGCTGATGCACAATCATTGACACGTGGAGCTAAGACTGTAGAGAAAGCTAGAAAACAGAAAATAAGAGATGTGGATAAACATAAAAGAAGTACTACTATTGGGGTATATATATATAATATAATTAATAGTATTTTTTATCTTGTTGTTCTTAATTTATTAAATTTATCAATTTATCAAATTTATCAAATTTATCAAATTTATTAAATTTATCAAATTTATTAAATTTATCAAATTTATCAAATTTATCAAATAAATTTATTAGGTTGGTCATTTAAAGAAAAATGCTGGATTACATAATTTACAAGTACGCGTTCTTCGAATACTTGGAAGACTCGGTGGAACCAATAAATTGATTTTCGAACGTATTGTTGATAATGAAGTAATAAATCGAACAAATCAACAACAAAATATTTATGGCTTTAAAGATCAAAATTCTTCAAATAATCTTTTGGCTTGGGATCCAGATAAAAAATTAACCTTTAATATTCCATATCCGGATACCAATGTGGAAATTTCAATCGGTAAATTCAAGTTTAAAGTTTTTTTTTTAGAAAAGATATCATGAATTTGTTACAAATATTATTATCATAGACGAATTCTTTCCACGTATTGTTGAGCTAGCCGAATCCGCACCTGATCGAAAAACAAAGGTTTTTGCTTGCGAGCTTTTACATTCTCTTATGTTGCTTATGATTGGAAGGAGCGCGTTTCAAGCTCGCAGTACTGCGGGACCACAAAAGGTTTGATAAACCATTGTTATGCTTTAACTTAAAATTTAGATTAAAATTTGCGTGTTATTAATTATTATTAGAGTCCATTTTATCGTATATATCGTCGAATATTTCCTGCACTTTTACGCTTGGCCATTGATACAGATCAAGTTCCAAGAAAACTATTTCGTCGTCTTGTAGCACAAATGATACATTGGTTTACAAACAATGCACAATATGAAAACCCGGAAACTATCGCACTATTACAATGCTGTCTTGATGCTATATGTGATACTTGGGGTTCATTGCGAGATTATGGTGCTGAATGCCTTAACGAATTCTTATTATGGTCAATTAAACAATCATCAGCTCAGGTATTTACCTATTTTTACGAGATTTTATTTAATAAACCATTGTAAATATTTAACCATTGTAATATTTTATTTGTTATATAGCAAATGGATGAAAATCCTATGAATATTAAGTCATTATTGAAGCGTTTATATAATCTTTCTGCTCATCCTGATTATACTAAGCGTCTTGGTGCTTCACTTGCTGTTAATCATATATATCGTGTATACCGTGAAGAAGAGCCATTGATTGATCTATTCACATTTGAATTATTATATTGGCTTTTATTCAACTTGAAACTTTCTGATCAAGATCAAGATGCTATTGGTATTTTTTTCTTAAAATTATATTTATTGCTTAGAATATTAATATCTTTCTAACATTAATATCTTTAAAATATTAATATTTTTATTTTATAATGTTAAATAAAAACTTTTTAGGTACACGACAACAAGCTATCTCTGCGATTAGACATTTGAAAAAAATAATTATTGTTAGATCAGATCTGTTTATAAATGAAACAGATACTCGGCGCAAATTTCCTAATCTTGATAAAGCTGATTTATCGTCTTTGGTTAAATGGCTATTCAATGAAACTTGTAAACTAGAACGTGATTATGCAAACATGTGTAGAGAATTATTTTCTGAATTTGTGGTATTACTAACAGGTGAATATATAGTATGTTATAAATATTTCGTATCATGCCGTGTTCCAAGAAAGTTATATAATCTTTCACATTTTATTTAGAATATAAAAGTGGTTCTCGATGGCTTTCACATGAAATTTCTAAAGATCCATCATTTCTGGCAAATCTTTATAAAACTGCAACTCTATCTTCACTACCTTCTCAGCACCATAGTGTAATTTCTTCCAAAACTAGAGGATGGTGTTTACGCTTCTTATGTGTTTTAGAAAATTATACGTGGCTAATGAGAGAGAAATTTGTGGCACCACTGGTATTAATTGAAAATGAAAGTTCAGTTTTCCAACAAGCCATTGACTATTTTTTAGAAAGAATGGTGTTAAATGTTGATTCTAGTCATTCACATGATATAATGGATGTTGATGATGAAAGTAGTTTTAGTTCATTTATTAGTTCGGAAAATATTTTAACACCTGGAGAAAGATTACAATGGTTAAATCGTGAAGCACGAATGATTGATCGTTTAATAGATTTTGTTATTGCTATACTTGAATATACAAACAATAATGATATGCAAAATGTATGGAATACAAACATTTTCAGTAATCCATTTTTTAAGACAATGGCCAGATCTTTATTTTATTTCGAAAGTTTGGGATTGAATTTATTATATAGTGGTGGAAATGAACGTGATAAATTTACAAAAAAATTGGAAAATTTACTGGCTTTGTGGAAAAAACGATCAAATCCTGATGATACTCAACTGACTCAAATGATTAAAGAAATTGCCGATATTGCATTTTCAAATGATGTTGATTTACTTTGTATTGAAATTGAAAAGTCAGGTGAAATTATCAAAAATTTTGTTTGTAATTGTATTCATAATTATTTTCATATAACTTTTTCTGTAAATAAATAGATCCTGCTAGTTACATCCATATTACGAATGGTTTTAAAATTCTAACTACGACAGAGATTTTCCCAGAACTGTTTGCTTATATACCATCAAATTTAATTCGTCATAGTACTCTACATGGGTATACGATTTTAATATGGGAAAAATTCAAGTCTCTCAAAAATGTTCAAGAGCCTGTTTGGATTGACCTTGCAAGTCATTTGCTTACATTTGTTTTGAGTAATAATCCTGATGCTTTAAACAGATGGCTTCTCAGTGACATCATGGTAACACATTATATAATCTTTTATTCTCTAGAAATTTTATATTTCAATTGTATTTAATAATAGAGTCTTTTTTTACTTTAATCCAGGGTTTTCCAAGTCATAGCTCTCATGTGAGTTATCAGGATGGTAGCCTATATTTTCAGAAATTTTCATCAAGCGTGAGTTATAATTTCAAATTAGAATTTACTGTAATATTAATTTTATTACAATCTTTTTATTAATTGTTTATAACCGTTCAAAATAGATCAATGAACATATCTCTCGCAATTTCAAAGCATTTGCTCTTATATTTTGTGAGAGTGTTAATGATGCTATAGTAAAGGATGTTATTTGGGGAGTAATTGATTATCTATCTTTTAAGAAAAACCCGGAACAGATATCAACGTTTTTAAAAGATGTAAGTAAAAGGGTCGATATGACATAGCATTTAACGATATTTAACAATATTTAACGATTTTTAACCTTCATTTTGTTTTAATTTGATTTTCAAGTTCACTTCATCAACGAATTTTTTGAGTCAGTTGTAAGTACTGCTTTGCTATTAAAATATGATTTAGACATTAATTACAAATTTATCGTATTAATATATGCTGATGGATTCTGCTAATCTATTTTTGTAGCGTTAATAATTCGAAAGACCAACGTTTCTTATTGAAATTATGGAAAGGACTTTTAAAGCTGGATCGTAATTTATTAAATCATCCGATTTCAAATGACTTTAAGCAATTGTTCTTTGATACATACATATCATTCCTGGGAAAGAATACAGAACTTGATTTTAAGTCTGAAGCTTTAGACATTTTGCCAATATTTATTAAATCTGATATGCAAATTGAAAAGGTAATATTTAATATATTATATAGAAATTTACTATCATTAATCATTAATCATTAATCATTAATCATTAATCATTAATCATTAATCATTAATCATTAATCATTAATCATTAATCATTGACTTTCCATCTAGATTGAGACATGTATTTCGAATATTTTGAATAACCAATTTCCATTATGGTCATCAGATTATAAGTCTGGTGGAACCAGAAAGTATCCTTTTAATTCAAATGCTAATCATATGAATATAAATTATCCAAAAATTATTACAAGTTATATCCTTAACTATCTTGTAGACTAAATGAATATATTTCAATACTTGATGGGTTGCTTAAAGCAATGGTGCGATCTAGTAGTGTTAGCCTTTTTAAAATTTTAGTTCCTATCTTTGTCCGCGAAAATGATCATATTTATTGTGAAGAGTTTTATCGAAAATTGGGTGAATTTGTTTCTAAACTTCCTCGTTCTAAATTTGTTGAAACCTTGGAAATAGCTTTCGGGTATTGTATTTTGTCAATTGATTATAAATTGATTTAACACATATTTTTTTCATTGATATCTTATTATTTTGTTTATAACTTGATTTTCGTAAATAATAGATATTTCATGGATTCAAAATTTGCAAATTTTCATCGAAATATAATTCAATCAATCTTAAGTCCTATATTAATGCAAGGAACCAAGATCTTTGTAGTGGAATTTTACAAAAGACATATTAAAGAGTTAATTAATATTATTGAACAGAATACACATCCAAGAACTGACTCTGAAATAATTTATGAACTTGATGCAAAAGCTGGATCGTTTACTTTATTACAAATATCCTTTATTGTATAGTATTGGTACATTTTTTGTAAAATTAATATTTAATCCATAACTATTTTTCACATTATGTATCTGCGAGTTTCTAAAGATCATATTTATTCGGAGAAAGGAGAAATTGTTCAAAGTTATTTTGAAGGGAGAATATCAAAGGCAAAGGAATTGACTCGTATAATAATGGACTTTGCACATAAAATTAAATCAAAGACTGATCATGTATGATTTGAAATTAGCATACATACATATTATTGATGGCTATTTTAGTTTCGAATTTATATAAATATTCAATTATAATTGTTTATAATTGTTAGGATGAATATTCAAGTGAATCAGTTATAGAAGCTAAATTTCTACTCAGATGTGCTGCTTATAATGCTCTTTCAGCTGCTATTTTATGCACGCAAGATAATACTGCCAAAAATACTCCAGTTTTCTATAAGACATTTTTATTTGCTGATAATATTATTAAAGGAGAATTTGTGTGGGAGAATATCGTTGATTTAAAGGTACTCTAAATAGACTTAATGAGTAATGCTTGAAATATTATAAAAGTTTGTATTAATAGCGCTTTTTTTTGAATAGACAAAACATCATTTCAGTGCCGACTCAGAACAACCATTTTTTAAGACTAAACTTGATGATTTTAGGACAAGGACAGGAGGTTTATCTAAAGAAACAAAAAAGTATACGTCACATTATTTATTTTGATTCGTTAATTGATTCAGAGTTTCTAAATAGCTTTTATTTGTAAAAAAACATTTAGTACCAATAATTTAAAATACCTTGCATCACAATATTTGGCAGATTCTAGTATTTCACAGGTTTGTTAATGAGCTTCAAAAAATTTAAATATCATTAAATTTATTTGGATATATTATTGCATATGTATTTATATATTTATTTATATCTTTTCAAGAATGCCAATCTTGATAGCATGATAGAAGAAATTACTCAAGAATTTGATGCAAATGTACAAATAGAAAATAATGATGATCCGACTCCGGCTCCAATGGAAGTTGATGAGCCAGAAAAGACTTTGTAAATTTATTTTTTTATTTGTAACATTATTTGGCATATTAATATATTAAATATAATATACTAAACCATTTTAATGCATTAAGGTCAGAACCTAGGGAATTAGAGATTGACGCGTTTAATCGTAATCCTTGTATGAAAATGATTATCAGAGTAATTGAACGACTTCATACTGAAATTACACCACCGAACAGTTCCGAATCGACGCCTATATGGATGAATGATTTACATAAAAAATTCATTAAGAAAGGTGATGTATTTATTATTACTTTAATTTCTTTATCTTGCACTTATATATTTTGATATTTATTTAATTTTTTTTTTATTCAGAAACACACATCAATATACGCCTATTTATTGCTAAGATGATTATTAATATTCCTGAAGCGTTTGAGAACTATGCTTCAATTTGGATTCGGCCATTAATCCAATTGATAATTGAAGGGGATATGTATGGAAAGGGAATCAATTATTTTATTCAGGTAATTGCATGATTTAATTATACTGAAAACTTAATATAATTATTTAATTGATTAATATTCTAATTCGAATTATAGGACCTTTGCGCTATAATAATTGTTTGGAGCTCTTTCGAAACATTAGGATCTTTTGATGATAAAGTATTAATCTACAAATTAATGGTAACATATTTCGATCCGTTATATTTGATATAATGCTGGAATATTAGTATTATCTGTTTAACTCAAATGCATGACATAATTAGGATTTTTTGATGAGAAATACATGTAACGAAAATCGTGCAGTCCTTCGTAATAATCTTCAATCAATTAAGGGGATGTTCGAAGCATGGCATGACATCATTGTTGTACCAACAGTATGATTCGACCATTTATATTGCATTGTAGTGATTTTTTTTTCGCACTTGATCTTACATGAATTTCCGAAATTGTTAATTTCAGCGAGTTATATATGACTATTTTAGTAGTTCAGATGAAAACAAAATTATTGCTGGTTTACAATTATTTGGAATCGCATTAACACATGACAAGTCCCTGTTTCAACAAGAAGCTGGGATTGACTTTGGCTCTTTGACAGAAGATAAATTTTATTGGGATCTCACTAGAAAGTTAGATCATGAAAAAACCAATATACGTTCTCTTGCTGCCGAAGTATGTTGGATAATTTATGTTGAATACTTTTTGCTTATGCGTTCTAAAATATTATTTCATTTAAGGTATGCGGTATGTCATTGAAAAATATGCGGAAATATCACTGTTCTAATGATAAGCTTGGATATTTGCTTAATCCAATCATGGAAAAGGTGCTTTATCAAGTTTTGAGATATTCTATTGGAATATTACTGGATTATTAATTATAAAAAAATTTTTAGGTCACCACTTTATACAAAAAAATTACAAATCAACCAACAGATCTTAATACATTTCTTACTTGCATACATCATATTTCGATGCATGATCGACCTACATCAGAGAAATTTTTAAAATATGCTTTCAATCTTTTACCACGATTAAATAGTCTTAATGTTAAGAAAATTCTTGCTTTGGAGGTCATTTCATATTGCGCTGATAGTGATCCAGATTTGCTTACAAATTTGGGAAAAAATCAGCTTCTTGCTTTACTTAGACATAGGTTAGCATACTATATATTTTAGTTTTAATTTTATTATAGTTACATATTTAATCTATGCTTATCACATACATTTACATGTTATAGGAGTGTTAATGAACAATTAGTAGCATTACGAATTTTAAATGGTGTACTACTCCAGGGAGATGAAACTTTAATAGATTATTTCTTGGACCCATTAATTGAAAGTTTCAAGGATCATCCTAATATAGATTGCCGAGTATCCTTTTTGAATTAAACTATAACGAATGAATTTTTTTTTTTAGGAAATCTGATTAATCCTTCACCGAACGATATGTAATAGGAATCATATTATGCCATCTTGATTCAGTTATACAAGAAAACATCCGAAGAAAGTAACGCTAAGCAAAAGTTGAAAATTGGTTTGCTAAGAGGATTAGCAGATTTAGATGAAAATATACAAAAAACATTGACGGAATTTTGGAAAGATCAACAAGAACTTTCTCGTGATACGTTTACTTTACTAAAAGAACTTGTTGGGTATGTTGAGTGATCTTTTATTGTTGTTTGTATATATTTATTATCCATTATTTAATTTATTCCATTATTTAATTTGTTTTTGATTTTTTTAGAAATTTGTATTGCTCTGAGATTGAAACACTCTTTTTACAGTATTCATGCTTTTTATTGCTCGAAGGGTCAAAGAAGAGCATCGACTATAAAAAACCTATATTTGATCAACCTTTACCTCAATCCAAATTTGATGATAATTATGACAACATCGATACATCATGGCGAGTGAGTAATTCTATGACACCTCTTTTCGTTAACACACAAAAAAGCAATCAAAAGGTATTTATATATAAATTGATATGGTATAGTAGGGTCTTGATTTTTTTTTAACGTTAAAGCTTTAAATAATATTATAATATTATAATAGCCTTATTATAAACGAAACAATCAAGAGGGGTTCGTTCGAGCAACAAATAAAAATCAAGCATTCAGTTTGACAGTTGATCCAAGTAAGAATAAATAATTTTTTCAATAATTTCACTAGTTTAACTATTATTAATTGATTTAATTAATAGTGAATTATGATATTGGATCTCAATTAACAACCTGGACATTTACGCAATCAAGTTTGTTGTTTCCTACCGGTAATGTTCCTATATTGGGCAAAAGAAAACAAGCTGTCCAAGACGATACAGATAAAACTTCAAAGTATTGGTTACATTCTTGCTTATCATAAATTATAAAGTTAGTTAAGCTTGTTGGATTTGAATATAATTTTTTTCTTACATTGCATTCATAAGTTTGGTTCAAAGTTCTCAATATCAGAACCTACGAAGACGATTTTTACCTACATACTCTGGAACTCAACAAGAATATTATAAAAATTTAGCATATACAAAGAAAAAGAGAAACGAAATATATGGTTCAATGAGATCAGATAATGTTTCGAAACAAGTTTCAATGTTGCGTCAATATCGAGTTGGTTCGTTTATCGTTTTAATAATATTTTTTATAAAATTTCAACTTGACTAAACAAAGATTTGCATGTTAATCTATTGACTTTTAGGTGAACTTCCTGACATAGAGATTAAACATAATGACATTATCGGCCCATTACAAGCTTTGGCGCATAGGGACTTGGATATTTCTCGCATTTTGTTTTCTACATTGTTTGTTTCTATTTATGACGCCACTAAAGATGATACGAGCATGGTAAAACAAAAAAAAAATCATAATGTTTTTATGTAATATTGAAATTGTTTATAGTTTAAGAGTAACGTTTGCTTTTATTTTTTTTAGGATATTAACGAACAAAATGATTACACAAATTCGATGTCTCAAAATATCCAAACCATTTTCAACGCAACTACATCATATTTTCCACCTTTAATTAGTAGTTGTCTACGAATATGTTATGAAATTCATGATATCAAAATTGACCCTTTAGCAATTCGGAGGGCTAGTGAAATGAGCTCGACAGAGTCAATGGGTATAGGGTTAATTGAACAACATTTGACACGGATCACTATTCAAAGGGGTATGTATTTATATGTTGCACTCAATATATAGTTTCTATCACTCAATGTGCCAAAACATTAATCTTCTAGAATCAAAGAGAACACGTATTACAAATACTGGTCTCGTCGCCGAAAGTAAACAACCATGGATAGAGTTAGCACATCTTTATAAATCAATCGATAGTAGTGATGTATATAAGAGCATATATGAAAACTACATTGCTCACAACCAATATACCAAGAGTATGTATACTTGTTATTTTTATTGTATATTATATTTTTCTTATACATGTTTATTATTTTCGAATAGATGCTCTTAACGCCGAGTTAATAGGTGATTACGCTTCAGCGTGTGAATTTTATTTGCAAGCATTAAGTGAGGTAGAAGATGCTGATGATGCTGAGGTTTGTATCTTTAAAATCTTCAATCCAATTCATTGATGATTTCTCATGCTTGCTATGCTCTCTTTTTTATAGGTCACAATTTGGGAAGAAGGAAGATTTGAATGTTTCGAAAAATTATCAAAATGGGACGACTTGGCCGAAACTGTGTACGTGGATATTGATTCAGATTTAGATAAGCTTTGGGATCAAGACTTTCAGGTATCTAAAATTTTAAGCAGCCCATTAAATATGCTTAATTTGTTCAAATAACCAATTTATTATATAATTTTATAGTATCCATATCTTCAATATTTCATGCACAGTTTGTTCAAATTAACGCATGGACAAAATGATGATAGTTATTGTGACATCTTTTTTAATTTCATTGATCGCTCTTTGTCTGATCCGGATCGAAAATCTTTCTTAACTGCTCAATACCCGATTGGTAAAAGTCAACATACTCTTAACTGTTGTGTTTATTATCCAATTCTTATTATATAGTTCTTATTGTCATTTAGAACTCGCGTTAACATCAATAACGCGTAATGATACAGAACAAGCGCTTTTTTATATTAGAAAAGCGTATGATAATTTCTTGTTTACGTGGTCTACTTTGCACCCGTTAGCATCTAGCACGAGATTGAGTAAACTGAGTTCTCTGCAACAGGTAGCAACTATTTCTACGTGATTTTAAAAACTTACATTTAAAAAATGGCTAATTCTACCTAACGTTAGATTGTTGAAATGGAAGAATATTTGAATTTGTCTCAGTCATCTGAGGAACCAGAAAAATGGGAAAAACTGATTAGTCATTGGAAAAACAGGTAATTTCATTTATTGGTAATTTCATTTATCAATTTTAGGTAATTTTCAACTTAATAGTAATTTTTAACAATATTTACTTTGAACAGGTATCCATCAAAACGACTTGATCCTAGCAATAGTTGGGATGATATAATAACAAGTCGTCACTCGCTACTTGGTGCTATGATGAAATTATTACAAGAAGATATGCATGTAAGTGACGTTCGCATGAATTTGTTCTGTAGAATATTACTTTTATTTAAATTATCATTTATATAGTTCGTTGAGATTAAAAATTCACTGGAACGTGATGGTTTACTTAAAATGGCTTCTGCAGCAAGAGTTCAAGGAAATTTTGAAGTTGCCCGGGTTTGTCTCAACAAAACAAGGCAATCTAAGCTTTATGATACAAATGAATTGGCTTATCATCAATTGAAACTTAATCTTCAAGAAGCTTTGACCACCGTTAACATTGAAAAAAAATTAAGTATCTTGGTGGCAATGACTGATGAATTTAAGAAAGTAAAGGTATTGAATAAAAAATTTCCACCTATAATAATTATCAAATGTTTTGTATTTTAATGTTTATTAACAAAATTTTTAGATTATGGATGTAGAAACTAATATGAAAAATCGCGTGATAGAAAGCGATACGTATGCAACGTTAGCAGCCATACTTGATAATAACGAAAATCGAGATTTAGCACGTTCTATTCAACATCGTAAAGCACATTTTATCGTTGACGGTTATAATCTTTTAAAAGATGCTGCCGAGGAAGCTGTTTCACACCTGAAGGTATGAGAAAATTCCGAGTTATTAAATTTTAAGTTTATATTTATTATCTTACTATTATTTATTGATTTTTTTTAGCCTGTGAACCGAGCTAAAATATTTGTCAAATTTGCAAAGTTCTGCGATTATTACTTGCGAAATTTGGAATCGACCGATGGGGACCAAAGAAGGGTAAATAAATCTATTATGTATATTCTTTTTTTATATTATAAATTCGGTTTAACATATTTGATACGTGTAGGTTTCTTTTGATAGTGGATTATATGCATCTACAGTCGTTAAATATGTTTTAAAAGCAATGGAAGAATGTTCAAAGGAAGCATCCGAATTATTTCCAAGATTGCTTCAGATAATTTGTATCTATGAAAATACACAATCGACTTTTAAGCAAATGGTATTTATTTTTGTTACTGAAAAAAAGTGGATTTCTTGGGCAAGCAATTCAATTGCATTATCTTTTTCATAGGTATCATCGTTTGGCCCCGTATGGAAATTTATTCGTTGGATTCCTCAGATTGTTGCCATTTTAGACAAACCTATTGCACAATGTGTTTTTCCAATATTGTACAATGTAAGCTTTCTATGCATATATATATTCCTTAAAGCATTTGAATCATTAATGAGATATCTTGTGTTTTGCCGTTACATAAACAGCTCGCGGAGCAATATCCAAAAAGCCTATATTACCCATTAAGAATTAGCAGTGAACATTACAATTTTGATGAAAAATCTAAAGAGTCGGAAATTAACAAGTCAAGAATTCAAAATCTTAAGCAATTAATAAAATGTGAAATAACTGATACTTTAATTGCTGAATTGCAAAGACTTATTGACCCGGAAGTTCACTTTGGGAATTGGATTCAGACAGTTTTTGTAAGAATTTTTTTATGGCATAAATATTTAAAGCCTTAAAAGTTATACTGACTTTTTTTTAATATATAGTCTTTAATCAGGTCAAAGACTACAGAATTTGACGGATATGAAGAAATTAAAAAGTCATTTCAAAAAATGAGGACTTTTCTCTTGGATATTCAGAATCCTCATTATGGGCTGTTTGATATCCTTCAATGTTTTAAATAGCATTTTTTTTTTAAACTGACTAGTTAATGTACTTAATAAAACTATCAATCCTTAACTTTTTCTATTACCTAAAGAATTTGCAAACCGGCATGCTGATCATTTAATAAAATCCTGCGGTAATTTCTAGTTTCTTGACGGTACCAATGTTATCGAGTTATGTAATTATAAACTAAACTTTTTCATTACTTTAGGAAGAGATGGATCTAAATTAGCGAGGTTTGCTCCGTTAGAATTTCGAGAAAAAGTTTTGGACTATCATGTGAAAAATATAAAGCGTGGTGGTGAGAAGAAATCACCATCTATTGCAAATCTACTCAAATCGTATTCTAAATGGCTTGCAGACTTTTCTTCTTCAAATTGCGACGAAGTATTATATATATTTACTTGCCTAGTTGTCATCTTTGGGATTTTATAGATTTAATTTTATTTACTTTATATACTATATAATGCAATGTAGGAAATTGAAATACCAGGCCAATACGATGGATTAAGCATTCCAGATCCTAGTCGACATATAAAGATTGCTTATTTTGATCCCAAAGTTTTGGTCTTAAAGTCTTTAAGAAAGCCTAAAAAAATTGTTATAATTGGAGCAGATGGCAAAGAATACCCCTTTTTAGTGAAAGTAAGTTCGTGTGTATGTTTCTCTTTCAGTTTTATGCAGATGTTTACTAGATATATTGACAGGGAGGAGAAGATTTACGATTAGATCAAAGAGTTCAGCAATTATTCACAGTTATGAATGAGCTAATGCGCAAGGATTACTTTTGCTCTCAGCGTAAAATTGAATTGATTACATATAAGGTTAGTTATGTTTAATTCTTATAATTTGACATATTTGTAATCGTATTACAGTATTAATGATAATTATAACTTTTGTATATAGGTCGTTCCAATTACTGGTAGCTTAGGCATAATTGAATGGGTAAATGATACTAAACCATTACGATCATTCATTGAGAAAGAACTTTCCGATGCTTCAGACATTGATAATACTCAAAGTGAACATATCAATTGGGTGGCTAAATATAATGGTAATATAAAGATAACTAAAATACCATTTATGAGGTTATGAAATTAATATTTACTATGTTTTTATTAGGATATTCTAATGTTATGAAAAAAGCTCCAAGGGATGATATTATTAAACACTTGGCGACTTTACATAGCATGATAAATAGAGACCTTTTAAAGACTGCATTGTATAAGCTTGCTGCGTCACCTGAAGTACATTTAGCGATTCGTAATGAATTTGTTAAAAATCTAGCTGCAATAAATATCTGTGGTTATTTAATTGGTAAGTTATAAAACCATCAATTCAATGTATTTAACTATGTAAATATAAATTAAGTTTATTTTTAATTCAGGAATTGGTGACCGTCACTTGGAAAATTATTTAATTGATCTTACCAAGTAAGCCATTGAATATTCAAAGAATTTAATTTACAGATTGAATATAGATAATAACTTTTTCTTTTAGAGGGTCATTAATTTCCATTAATTTTGGTCACGCACTTGAAGTCCCAAAATTGGTACCATTCCGGCTTACTAGACAATTTGAAAGTATAATGGAACCGCTCGGGTCACGAGGTCCCTTGAAGTATCCAGTGATAAAAATAATGCATGGTAAGCTGACCCAAGCGATAAAAATAATATATAAAAATTCTTAATAATGCTATATATATAATATAATAATATATATTTATACACACATATATATATAATATATTTATATTTATTTATTTAGCTATGCAAGCACACAGGGATATATTGCTTAATGCGATGGAAATCTTTGTTAAGGAACCATCATTGGACTAGCAAGGAATCAAGCACGACAACTAAGTTAAAATTTTTTTCAAATTTTATTCTACATAAAATTTTAGAACATTATTTGTCTAATATAGATAACATTTTAGAAAATGCAGAAAGTAGTGAATTTGATGAAAGTTCTCAAACATCTGAATGGTATCCACGCCAAAAATTGGATATTGCTAGACGCAAACTTGAGAGTGCAAACCCTTCCTGTGAGTGTTTTCTTTGATACAGTTATTTTCCATCATTAATATACTAAAATTTTATCGTGTAAACTATTCAATAGATCTTGTTTGTGAAGAGTTGTCGTTTGGTCATTCAAAGAAAGTGTTTTTTGAAAATATCCAAAAAATTGCTAAAGGAGATCGGGAACATAATATTAGGGCTCGTGTATCACAAAAATGTGGTAGCATTAAAGAACAAGTTGAACGTTTGTTGATTTGGCAACTGATCCTGTTGTTCTTGGCATTATGTGGGTTGGATGTTTGGGTTGGTTTTAATTTACTATTATACGCCTTATGACGGACTATATTTAAGGAACGTATTATTAAGCAAGCTGATAATTAACTAATACGGACTGTGATTTAAATTTAGAAGAAAACTATAAGTTAAAAAATTATATATTATTAGATTTTGATATACATATAACATGATACCTATTTTACAAATTTTATTCTTGTAGAGCTTCTTTCAAAGACTAAGCTCTATTGTTTTTATAATAATTGAAAAAAATTCTAAGTTGTATATTTTGCGTTTTTTTAATGCAATTAAATTAACTGTTAAAGCCACGATTGCTAGTGATGACGAGACCATTGGTTTCATCAATTTTGTAATATCTAGTCAACATGGGATTTGAGTATACATACTGGGTGTCTAAATTATTTTTTAAAAGAGTAATTTCGACAAGCATTTCGAAATTGCTAATTTTTTATACATAAATTTCACGTTCTTCTAACGTAACACATGAGGTACACATGTTACATAGCCCAATCAGATTACAGATCAGTGTTAGAAGACTAGAGTAATGTTTGTTTATGTTATTAGTGTAACAATCACCGCATAATGCGGCATGTAGTACAATCCATCACAACGTTATATAAATACCAGCTAAACAAATCAAAAAAATCCAAACTTGAACCTGAAAAAATTTTTTGCTTGTCTGCTATTAAATTTCTTAAAATTATAATTAATAAATTATGCTTTAAATATAGTATTTTTCTAAATTACTGATTTTTTATAAAAAAATTTATTTAAAAATTTATTAATAGCTTTATTTATATATAGAACTAAGTTTTACAAAGTTATCTATCAATTAGTTTTTTAAAAAAATTCTACAAAAAGAACCAATCTTTAAGCCACTATGACTCTTTATAGATCTTTGTATTTTTTTTTTTAAAAAAAATGACTAGTAATATTGTAAAATTCAATTCTGTGTATAAAAAAGTATTAATAAAAGTTATTTACCAATAATAATTTTATACACAAAACTGGTTTACAAAATTACTAGTTAGCTTTTTAAAAAAATTTTCTATAAAAAAAACAATCTTTAAGCCACTAAAAACTCTAAGCATTTTTTTAAAAAAACTGATTAGAACTTTGTAAAATTTGATTTAATGTATAAAGATTAATAATTTTTTTTAAAAAATTTTTTATAAAAAGTCTTAATAATCTAAAAAATATTGTAAGCTCTAAAATAACTGCAAGATTCATTTTCTATTTACTAATAATTTTTGAATTTTATAATGTTAGAAATGAATTCCTCGTAGCAATTCTTCTATCTACCTACTACAATCACAAGAAACAAAAGTTTTAATTTTCTTATGATGGATTAAATTAATAATGCATTTCAATATACTGCGTTTTAAATACAGTATTTTTTTTAAATCACTAAAAATTTTTTATAGAAAATTTTTTCAAAAATAGCTTTCTTTATATGATACTGTCAGTTTTTTTGAAAAAATACTTCCTCTATAAGAGTTACAGTGGCATAAAGATTAATTCTTTTTATAGAAGATTTATTTAAAATTTTTCTATAAAATATTTTTTGGTATTTAAAAAAAAATACTGTATTTAGAGCGCAGTATACTGAAATGCATTATTAATTTATTCAATCATAAGAAAATTAAAAAAAAAACTTTTCACGTGCTATTTGATTGTTTATAAAAAATTTTAATTACTATCGCTATTACAGCCTTTCTAGAACAAATAAGTATGTACTACACGTCCGTCCTAATTTGCGTTTCTGTACTATACACGTATGTACATACGTACATACTTCTGCATTGGCATTAGGCCTAAATTGATTTTTTGTATAAATTAAAAAATAAAGTTGGATTGTTTTTATATAAGATTGTCCTAAATGTATGGTATAAATTCGTAACAACGAAAAAACTTATTTGATACTACGTATATGACGTTGAACATGGGTCAAACAGCCGCTGAACTCCGTAAACTTGGGTGGAACTATCAAAATGGCATTGGAGTCGAGAAAGACGAGCATAAAGCTTTTGAATATTATAAAAAATCTGCAGACATGGGATATGCAACTGCAACTTGCGATGTTGGATATTGTTATGATGAAGGAATTGGAGTTGAAAAGGATGAACAAAAGGCATTCATTTATTATCAAAAATCTGCAGAGATGGGGGACTCTTGTGGGATGTATAATATTGGATATTGTTACCAAAATGGACAAGGAGTTAAAAAGGATAAACAAAAGTCCTTTGAATATTATTTAAAATGTGCTGAATATGGAAATTACTGTGGAATGCATCAAGTTGGTTGGTGTTATCATGAAGGAATTGGTGTAGAAAAGAATAAAGATTTGGCTTTCGAATGGTATTTAAAATCTGCTATTGCTGGACATGACTGTGATGTTCATAAAAACTATTTCCAATGGATAAAATACAATGATTTTAGAAATATTGAAGATGTAGGTAACGGTAGGTTTTCCGTAGTGTATAAAACAGCATATGGAATATTTGAAGAAGTTGCAATCAAGATCATTAAAGATTCGCATAAAAATAAAATTGATTTTTTAGACGAGGTATTTTATTGATTTTTTTTCACGCGTAAATTTATATTATTTATGAATTATTTGTTTAATTTTAGTTAAAATCGTATCACGAAATTGGTGAATACTATGGCATATTAACGAATAAAAATACGAAAGATTTTATTTTAGTGTTAAATGACGCAAAATTAGGATCATTGAATGAAAATCTTAAAGATATATTTAAATTGGAATGGAAATTTAAACTAAAAATATTATGCGATATCATTTATGATCTATCAAATATACATTCTAAAAACTTTATGTACCGAAGTTTACATTCTGGTAATATTTTACTAAAAGAACGATATGAAGCTTATATTGATTTAGTTACATCAATATCGTGTTATGAAAAACAGGATATGGAGTTTTGTCATATTTAGCACCTGAAGTCTTAAAAGGTGAACAGTTTACCCAAGCCGCTGATATTTACAGTTTTGGAATTATTATGATAGAAATATTAAATGGTCAAAGACCTTTCGATGGTTACAATTTTGATGCTGAATTGGCGGCGATGATATGTCATGGATTACGACCTGAATTTATTATAAGGGCTCCAGATTGTTATATTAAATTAGTCAAGCAATGTATTAGTTCAAATATAAAGAAAAGACCTACAGCTGTTGAGATTCTTTGTAAGCTTAAAAAATGGAAAAACATCATAACTGCCAATCATAGTAACGTTAAATCAGATATGAAAAAAAGATCTAAGGCTGTTTGGATTTTTGATAAACTTAAACAATGGAGTACAATTATAGTCAATGATAATAATATCAAATTAGACAAACAATGTATTGATTCAGATGAAGAGATTAAACAGCAATTTTTAGAAGCTGATAAATTTATCTCCGAATTGCCAGTCACCACACAAAAACATGATAATATGATGTATATTTCTAAATTTATTGATACAAAAGAAATCGTTTCAGAGATTGAAAATTTTAGAATTAATCAATAAACCAAGAGAACTGTATTGATAATATTGATAATAATTTAATTTTTTATAAATAACAATATTAAAGGATATATAATATATTGAGAATGTATAATTTATAATAAACATTATAATTAAGGTATTAATTATTTTATATTTATTGTCGCAGCTGAAACTTGAAATGGCTGAAGCTTGAAATTTTAATTATTTTAATATGAAATTTTTAGAAATTTTTGGGGTGCATTTTTTTAA